TTTTTTTTTAATGCGCAGCTATTCAAAAAATCGAATTTTCAAAAAATAATAAATGACACTGCCCTTTGATTTAGAATCTGTAAGTCAGCGTTTAATACATTTCGGAGCCACACTAGTACGAGTGAATGCAGTGAATAGGATGACAAGGTATGGATGCGGATGTGGATGTGGATATGGCTATGGGAGAGGGAATTATGGATGTAAGGGTATTGGGGAAAGGGACGGTGACATTCATTTAGTTTTTTAGGTTGATAGAGCTTGACGAAAATTCATTTTTATGTGAAAGCTTACATTATATTAATGAAAGCTTAAAAAAGCTCTCATTATTTTAGTTAACAGCGGGAAAGGTTCGAAGTTTTCATTAAAGAAAGTATATTTTTCTCGTTAAAACTGAAATTCTTTTTCCGAAAGCTTAAGAAGGCACTCTTAATTTGTAGTATGAGTGTAAAATTCTTCTAGGTATTCATCCAATCAGAGTTTTTGTTATCAGGAGAGCTTACAAGATTTTCATGAAAACTGCTCAAAGCTCTCGTTGTTCGAGGTGGGAGCATGAAAGCTTCGAAGCTTCCAACAACAAAAGTTTCGTTTTTTTTCGTGAATACTCATATACTTTGCATGAAAGCTTAAAAAGCTCGCGCCATTTGGGTTATGAGCGTGAAAGCTTCGAAGTTTTCATTGACAAAAAAAAATAAAAATTGTGAAAGCTAAAACTTTTTTTCAGCAACGCTTAAAAAATCTGTCTTTTTTGAAGTATGAAAGTGAAAGCTCTGAAAATTCGAAAAAAAACTTTAGGTATGTGAAAGCTTTAGAGCGTCAATCGCTACAAAACATCTAAAATTGTCTAGAAGAGAACTTGAAGGATGTGAATATTTTGAACATTTTGAAAGCTTTCGAGGAAAGTATTATGTTTTAGGTTTCTTTACGCTTTTTTAGAGCTTTGTCATAACTCTGTATTCAAGCGCGAAATGCTTTAAATATTTTTCAACTTACTTGATTTAAAGAGATTAAGTTAATGATTGGGTGAAGTTTTTTATAAGCAAAACCAAACAATTGTCCTCTACTACAAACGAAATTCAATATAAATACTATTTTACATATATGCATAAATCAATAATGGTGTGATGTAGTGGACAAGTGGAGGGAAATGGAGTGGAGTAGCGTGGATTTGATTTGAATTGAGTTGAGTCGAGTTGGTGTGGTGTGTGTCGGTACGAAAATATTTACAATTTGAGACGAGTTTGGTTGACGAATTTTGTTTATTTCGATATATTACTAAATAAATGTAGATAGATATATTTTTGATATTTTTTGTGTGCGTTTGGGCTTTGTTGGTTTTAACTACGTTTACGCATACTTCTTGATTATATATTTAGCGTTTTAGTAAAAAGCTACAACAAAATTAACAAGGTAAATGGAAAATATGTATGTATGCAAATTTGTTTATTGCTTGAGTAGTTTTATAATTTAACTAACGGATTGTCTTGAAGTATTTACTAAATTGTTTTTTTTTTTTTTTTTAGTTGCTATTGTAGTGTTTTAATTAAGGCTACAGCGCGCTAATGTTAATCAATTAATAGTTATTGCCTCTATTTATAATTTCTTTTTTCAAAAGAATACAAATTTTAAATTGCAAACGAATTAAATGTATGTACAAAGCCAGTTCTAAATTTATTTTTTTTTCAAATGTACTAAATATCTACTGCAAAAAATATGCCAACTAATTGTGGAAAGTATCATCTAACTGCGCAATTAAAAAAGCTGAAAGGACTCGGTTCGTCGAAGGCTGCGCGGCGAATGAGTCCTTTCCAAACGGCTCGTAGTGCAGCGTAAATTGTAAAAGAATTATATAGTTAATGTACTTATACTATATGGATTGTATAAAATGCTACAAACAAAACAACTACTATGGGTGTGAATTGCAAACGCTAATGTGAGTGGGAGAAATTGTATGAAAAATATAGTGGAAGAAAAAAAGAAAGAATGTGAAATAGTAAATGAGTGTAACTAACCAGCTGGTTAGTTGAAGTGAAATAGAAACGCATAAAGCAGAATTATCAAAGAGAGTGTGTGTGAGAGAGAGAGAGGGAAAAGGAAAGTACAAAGGATAATAGATAGGAAGTAAGAGAGAATTGGAAGAAGAAAAGAAGAACAGAGATATTGAAATTTAAATTAGAAAGAATTAATAAAGCAAAAATCAGCTGCAAAATTAAGGATGTAAGAGTAAGAGAAGTAGAAATATTTAGTGTTGAAATAAAGAGAGAAAATATAATGTAGTATAAAAATATGAATTTATGCATTTTTTTTTTAATTTTTCTCTGTTACTACGTGTGCAAGAATGTATGATTTGGTGCAATTGAATTGATTGAAATTGAAACTTTTGCTACTTACTGGTATCAAAATTTGACGAATAGTATTGTTGATTGGTCGTTTTTTGGTCTTTAATTTGCAGAATAAGGCGGCGATTCTCCTTATCGTAGTTTTGAGTGAGGGCGCATTGCACTAATATGCAAGCGATGGCCTGGGGGTAGAGGAAGAAATTAGTTGAAATATGTAATTTGATTTAAATACATACGAAAATAAAGTTAGGTTAGATTAGATGTTGATAATATACATATACATAAGTTTATGATAACTTATTTATAAGTATATATGTATGGGGGATTCTGGAACATAAAAGGCTATAGTTATTATTTCGGCTGCTAAAAGAACCAACACGTGAAATATTTATAGAAATGTGGCGTATTTGCCAGTAGTGACGATTACAATTTCAGGGATAGTCGCCTGATGCCATTGAATAAAATATGGCCTACAACCACTGACTTATAGGTGGATAAGGCAGTTGTTATGGCCTTCTTGGCAGGCACCCCTACATTGCGCCGTCAGGTTAGATTTCAGTTCCGTTCGTCTAGACCAGGTCTCTACCTCCTAAAAGGCGTTTTGTACTAGACCGCAGAAAACTCTACCGTCAGCGAGAGATCATCAGCGTAGGAACCTGTCTAGCTCCAGTAAACATGCTAACTGCTAAGCAATTTATTCATATCAATTTTCTGTCGAATCTGCATATCCAGTAGTGAGATCCGCGAAAACCCCCCAAATCTAGATCTTCACATACTACTTACATACATAACTCATGAAATTTCACAACATTGTGTAAGAGTAATTTTACCCGAGTATAGTGTTAAAAAAAAAATTATGCAACAAATATCGTTAACACATCGTTCAAAATGCAATTAATATTAGAAAAAATGGTTTCACACTTTTTCCCAAACTAAATTACCAATATAAAGACGAGCCATGACTGAAGCCACCACAGAGCCATGATGTTGGCTGACAGCTGCGTTGAATAGTTAGCTGATTCGTGTTGTTAAATAACTAATGGGTGTGTTGAACTTTTTGTAACCACTTTGAATGGATCTGTTTGAAAACAAAACAAAAAAACACGAAAAATTCAAACACGTCAAATATGCGCAAAAGAAAAACGCCCACAATTGTAAAAGAAATATTACATGCAGACACACACAGACAGACGAAGGCAAAACCGCCAGTTTCTTACTAAAATGGAGCGCACATAAGCGGATGTGCGAAGCAAATAACAAATAAATATTTTTCTAAATGCTTTTATTGCAACACAAGGTAGCCCACTACTCGAACCAGATGTCAACTTGTCACTTGAAACGCGTCCGATTCAACTGTGCGCCTCAACGGTAAATGCAGGTTTTTTATATGTATTTACTAAGAGAAGATTTTGTTGGCAAAAAAATTTGAAGAAATACTTAGTATTACTTGGCTGATTTAAAAAATAAATATGACGTAAGGATGAACGTGAATTCGAGCAGTTATTAAGTGTGTGTAGGTGTGTGTGTGTACGAAACATGCATACATGTGTACATAAAAATTTATTGTGTACATATATATACATACACAATTCTTAAGCGGACTAAGGGAAGTCAGTTCAAATTGAGAAGAACTATGAAATTTCGAAAAGCAAAATTAGGCAGGTTTAGAGATGTTCAGCTTATTTGGTATTTTTGTGCTCGTTAGAGCTACCAACGACCTGAAAAGGATATAAATTTCTGTAAAATATTGGACTAACATTTTACTATATTTAAAATATCAAATGGCCTCAGCGAGTTTATTCATTGCTAAATGTGTATGTATGCGAGTATAGATTATGTGCATATATACGTATGCATGTTTATGTATAAGTACCCAGTTTTCCTTTTTAGAAAAAAACGTATATATTTATGTAATTAGGAGCTACTAAATAAACACAATTTTTTTTTTTAATAATAAACGTTTACTTGACTCAATACGAAGGTATATTTGAGAGTACTAAAGTATTTCCCATACTTCTACAAATTAAAAGGTACCAGGAATAGAAAAAATTGTCGATATTGTAATATGTAATGCTTCCAGATTTGTGGCACGTTTCAAAACTTTTCAAGATTTTATTGAATTCTTAGTGATTTGTTTCGGGGCTAATCGTATTGTTTCTTTTGGGATTATTTTATGAACCTTGTGAAATTTTTTTGGAACTTTTCTTTAATTTCTCAGCAGTTTTCGGGAATCTTTCGAAATATTGAAAACAAATTTTACGAATCATTGTCTGATTTATCGGGACTCGTGTTTAACTTTTCTCAGAATTTTTTAAGAACTTTGGCATTTTACTAGAACATTTCTTCAGATTTTTTTCGGTATTTTTTGGGAACATTGAGGGTTTTTCGAAGTCTTTCAAGATTTTCTTTCAAAATTTTTTCCGGATTTTTTTTTAATTTTTTCTCAATTCTTCGTGTTTTACTTTTCAGCACTTTTGGAGGACCTTGACAATTTTTTGGAGACTTTTCTTTAACATTTTAGGGCTTTTCTGGATTATTAGTGTTCTATTTTTGGAATTTTCAAGGCTTACATGGATAACTTTTGCATCCAGTGTTTTTTACTTGGCACTACAACCAACCACAGATTTGAGCCGATACCGATTTGGTGACCGATTTAGTGAAGCCATAAGTACTAAATTAGTACTGCGAAAATAATTAAAAAAAAATAGTATTTAAAATACTCAGAGACACCTAAAATACATAAACACTTAGTAGATACTTAATTATTTACTACAACATAAATACCAAAGTAATTTTATACTTATGACTTAATACTTAGTAAATACAATTTTTCCCATCACGGATTTGTTCGTTTTAGTATACAATATTTTGTAGATCATCCGAAAATTAAGCAAAATTTGATTTCTTGCTCTACCAAACTTGTTTTATATTTATGAAGAGTGAGCTGATGTTAAATGTATGTATGTGCGTTTGCTTATTCGTATATCTGTGTTAGCGTATAAACTTACAAATATTTTTGCAAATATATTCACACTTACTCACATAAACGCCAAAGCTAAGCCCCTGGCGAAGAGCAAGATTTTTGCAAACAAGCTCAAATTGGATTTTCAGTTGAAATGCTACTGTTGCTAATTGCTGAAATTTTAAGCAAACTAGACGTTGGTTGTTAACAAAAAAACAGCAATTCAAGCGAGCAGTACGCAGTTTAAGTAATGCAATTGCAAGCATTTTCATTAAATTCATTCTTTTTTTTTTTGGTTTCTTAGTTCCTCGAAATTTACGCTTTTAAAGCCTACCAAAAACATTTTACCCATCCAAATATGCCTTTACACACATATTCAGATGTGCATGCACACATGCATATACAAACATATGTAGGTGCATTAAGGTGACACACCAAAAAAAATTGCAGGTTTTCCAACCTAATTAAAAAATTTTGTGTATTTCGAGACTTGTAAAAAAATATTTTAGCAAAAATATTAGGATTTTGGTGAGCTGGCCGATTTGAAAATATCTCCAAAAATCTCCTTATATTTAACATTTAAACATTTTTCTGCATACCTTTTAACCTTAAACTCTTCTATCATGCGAATGTTCGACTTTATCAACCCAGCTCACATTAATCTTAGTATTTTTCCAAAATATATTGCCTTTCTATATAATAACTTTTATGATTTCGGTGGAAAAACAATCAATATTAATTTTTTTTTTATGGAGGGTAATGCACTCTAATGTTCATACACACATTTGTATGCTTGTATTTACTGACTGCTTTTGGAATGGCAGCAATTAAAATCGAGTTATTGCGTTTAATG